CTTTCCTCTCCTCCTTCTTACACTCTTTTCTCTCCACATTCCTGCTATCCATCCCTTCTTCTCCTTCTACTCACACTCCTCATTTCTCCTATCCTTCATTTTCTCTTCTGCTCACACTATTCTTTTTTCCTATCCTTCCTTTCCTTTCCTCCTCACATTCATCATTTCTCTTAACCTTCCCTTCCTCTCCTTCTGCTCACACTCCTCATTTCTGCTATTCTCCCTTTCCACTCTTTCTACTCACACTCCTCATTTCCCCTCTCTTTTCTTCCTCTTCTTTTGCTCCACTCCTGTTTTCTTGTCTTCTTCCTTTTCTCTCCTACTCCCACTCCCCAAACCTCCTATCCAACCTCCCCATGTACTTACACTCCTGAACCTCTTCATCATCTTCTTGAACTCCCGAACTTTCTCAATGGGTAGGATGCTCCCTTCCTTGTGCTCCTCCTCCTCCACTTTGATCTCCGGGGAGGGCACTTGCGCCCGCCGGTAGATCCTGAGGTCCTGGCCACAGAACTGGGGGAAGTGCAGGTACTCGTTCCCGTCCCGGTCGCGGCCCAAGTGGTACTCGCGCTGGTCGGCCTCCGTGTGCTCGGCGATCACTTCCTGCACTGTCTTGTGGTTGTGCTGTTTGGGAGGACAGAGGTTATGAGGAATGCAGGGGAGAAGGAAGGCCAGCAAGGGTGAAGGAAAGGTGGAAGTAACAAAGGGGGAAGGAATAAGAGAGAAAATGAGAAAGAAAGAATGTTGAATTATTTGGGGAGATTAAAAAAAAAAGAGGGAAGCAATGGGGGGAGGGGGGGTAAATTGCCATGGAGGTAAGAGAGACATAAAAAGTTAGCAAATAAATCCAGAATGGGTGGAGTAGTGTGGAAGGATACCATGGATAAAGAGGGTGGAGAAATAAGAAAAAATAAAAGTGACAAAGACAGAGAAAAGGAGAAAATATGAATTAAAGTAAAATATTAGTATAAAACTTTCTATTCCCAAATATACAACTAAGAATGTCATGAACAACAACAAGAGCAACAACAAAATTCAACATACAAGCAGAAAGTCACAGAGGGACTTGAGTAGCCACACTCGCTGGTGGTAGGTCATCTCATGGAACAGCTGGCGTTCAAAGGGATTTGTGGGTCCACATATGTTCCAAAACTGTGGCTCAATTCCCATTTGGTCAAAAACCTGATAAAGAGATGACATGATTTACATATCTATATTTATCTACATATATACTTACCTATTAATCTGTCCCCTGAGCACCAGTGACCATTAAACACATTATGGTACTTTCTGAAGGAACTAGAGGGTACCTTTGATGCTGGGTGAAAAAGTTGAAATTCCCATGACATGAATAAAGGCTACCTGGCAATACAGCAATATATTTGTATATATTTTCTCAATAATGATGCTATCTAAATGGAATGAGGCAAAGAAGGGAGAGGAAGTGGGATGAAGAAGAGTATTATGATGATGATGATGATGATGATGATGATGATGATGATGATGTTGAAGGGACAGGAAGAGGAGAGGGAATATGAGGATAAGGAAGAGAATGACTCAGAGACAGACTTACTTTCTGGGAATTCTGGTTCTCCCGAGAGAAGCACCTGTACCACAGGAGGGTCTTGTGTGCCAGCTTCCGGGCCCAGACCTTGTAGGGCATGTAAGGCTTTTCGTTGAGCTTCTGTCTCTGCTGTGGTGACGACAGGAGGGAGGTCAGTAGCATGGCCAGTGTTCTTGAGGCTCGGGGCATCAGCAGCATCCTTTCAAGCTCATACTGAGGGACTTCATAGATGTTTAGGGTGTTCAGAGTGAGGTATATAAAGTGGCCAATTTGTGGTAGCTGAAAAGAGTAGGAAAAATGAGTGCTTGGTTCTGGGAAAGTGGAATTCTAACTCTCAATGAGCTCAATCTCAACACAGACAGACAGATAAATAAATACATGCATTCACACACACACACACACACACACACACACACACACACATACACACACACACACACACACAATGAATTTTATTTACCTCCCACATTGCCCTCATTTGTGAGTGGAGAGGCTCCTTAAGTAGATCTTTTTCCCACTGTATGACTTCCAATTCTCGGTCACGCTTTGCCTGACGCATGGCCTCCATTTTCCTCCTCTTCAATTCCTTTTCACGCTGCACTCTGCATCCTCGGACACGGTGCATGACGTACGAGAAGAAATTGTCACCTGGTTGGGAGATTCACACAGTAAAAAAAATGTCTTTTACATACATTTTAGCTTTCACAAAATAGCTCATGTAAGAACCTTTCTATTAACATTTAGCTACACTTATTAATCAGAATTCTATAATTTCACTTACCATTGACTGAGATCTTGGCTCTTTTGTTGCGGTGCTTTTGAGTGATATCTTCTGGTGGCTGGCCGGATGTCTTCTCCAAACTGCATTGTTCGCGGATTTCCCTGTAACAGAGAGGATAGTAGAGAAATCTAATCATCTAATGGTAAAATCATGCAGGTATACATGTACAGATATGTACAGACACAGACAGAGATATAGCTACAATGACAGACACAAATGCCCACTAATGGCAGTTCTCACAAATAATTAAGATGGAAAAAAAGGCCCTACTCTAAAAATTCTAAAGTCTGCCTCATGAATGATCACTAATTACATACTTGGGAAGGAGAGCTATTTTCTGCTCCATCATGTGCTCCAGACGTAGGCCTTTTTTCGAGATGGAATGGACCGGCCCAAAGTATCGGTATGCATTCTCTAGCATGAGTCGAAGATCTCCAATGAGTTCGGTGATTGTTTTGTACTGCCCATCTAAGAGTTGCTCCTTAACTGTAAAAACAAAAAACAAAAAACAATAGCATTATTCATACTGCTTTGACTATCTAAAGCAATTCCTATATTAGTAATTTTAATCTTAACAGTGACTATTAGTACTGAGAAAGCAAGATCAATAATAATGGCAATAATGATAATAAAATTATTATATTGCATGACAATGAAAATAATGAATACAAAGATGCTAAAAGCTGTCCAATATCATAATGAAACATAACAAAATTCTTATAATAAAAAATACCAAATATATAAAGATCTCATTCTTGGTACTCACTGTAGAAATTGTTTTAAAAAGCATCACTCATTGCAAACATAATATATTTTCCCTTCAGGCAGAATCACTAGCTATATTAACCTATTGCTGCTGGGTACACACTGTTCACTGAAATTTTGTTTTGTGATTTATGTTTACAAATAGATGCCTGTACAAGTGTTGATTCAGGAAGGAGTCAATTAGGATGCCCTCTGTTACCTTAACTGATTTCCCCTTTCCTTGAATTTTCCTATCATTTAATAAAAATGCTAAGGGTAATAAAGGATGAAAGAGAATCTGGAAATCAAGGTAAAGGGGAAAACAGGTAGATTGATAGGATTAGTAATTGACTCCTTGGTTACTAGAGGCATCTATGTACAAATAATATCAATAAACTAAATTAACTGTGGACATGGCACGTTTGTACATGCCATAGCTGCTAGCAATGAGTTAAACAATTTAAAACCTTTTATAATTTACATTAAAAAAGCACATTTCTCTAAAAGAAAAATGGAAACTGAAAAACAGTTCTGCAGTTCATCACTTCCACTCACTCTTCTTCAGCCAGAGAGGTTTCTTTATGACCTCCAGGTAGTCTTTGTTCTTGTCGGTGTCCAGTTCAATAGGCTCCATGAAGGGCGCATTGCTCCCCTTCTGGTAATCGGACATCAGCTCCATCAAAATCCTGGAAGTTTGTTGGGCTTATTTAAAATGGGCAAGGTTTAGGGAGTCCCCTCTCTCCCTTATTCCCTGGTTTAACTTTTCTACCCTACTGCTTTTTCTAAGACGTATTAGTACAACAAGGGAGAGAAAAAGCCAGCCCAAATGAATGTGGCTAATAACATTGGAGAAGAAAAAAGGGTTTAGGTGTTTACAATATTTTGTCTACTTTAACCCCTACACTATGAGGCAACACAAAATGGATTTGTTAAGAGCGAGTCAGAATTAATAAAGAATTTACCAAAGTCTACCTACACCAACAATGCCTCAATAAAGTATTTTCGATCTGAACGAAAAGGTTGCTCATGCCCGACCAGGCATCTAGTTTTCTGGAAGCACTGAGTCACGGGAAAGACCGTAACTACAACAAAGCCCCATAAAAGTTAATCCATTCATGCTGGGATGATGTCCTAACACATTATGGCAGAACATCCAGGATTGCATCTTTACGCCAAGAGCGGTTGGGACTATTCTATTCTGGGTGCTCTAAATAGATTTGTGCTTGTTTGGCTGCATTTGTTGTGGAAAAAATTTCTCTTAAATGTATTCTTGAAGCCTCTCTATAACCTCATTGCCGCAGCAAAGGCCATAGTGAATGGGGCAACTCTATGTCCGATGTTTCTGAATTTTCCTCTGGCAGCTGACTTCGTATGTGCCCTGGTGCCTTGTTTGGTGTGGCACTGGGGATTCCCACTGTGACTGTGTTTAATGATTATTTTTAAAAAATTGGCTAGTGGCTGGCAATGTGGGGCTATTGGCACATACTGGCATCTTACTAACAAACAAACATTATAAAACAACTAAATGAAATAGCCATGGCAGTGTGTTTTGTTTTGAAACCTTCATTTAATCAAAGCATCTAATAACATAGTTGTGAATGAGATGGCATGAATAATACAGTTCACACCTCTGGTTTGGGAGCCTTGATATACACAAAACTGATTGCTAGAGAATAACTGTATTCACGATACTTGCACTGTTTAACCCCTATGATCTGGATGACATGACCATCACATCATGAAAAAATTTGGCTTGTGGGGCAGGTGACATGAACATACTGTCATGGGAAAATTTAGCTAAGGGTTTGCCGTCATGAGAATTTTGGGTGACGGCTGGGGTGACCATAATGACTTGCCATGAGTGCACAGAACTTTTGGAGGGTCACCATATTCAAATGGCATTTAGAAAGGGGCTTGTGCATTATTTCCATCGATAAACAAACATGGAATATACCATCTGTGAACCATTGCTTGAAGAGCACTGGCTCTAGGGAAGATGTTATTTCCACACACAGGATCCTATTCCTGCCTGCCATATTACAGAAAATTGAATGTTTTGAAACTAACAAATGACAATTATAAACAATGAAAAATGACAAAATAGCTAAAAACTCTTATGCAGAAAAAGAGAAAATAACATTGCAAAGGGGAGGCATGGAGACTTGTCACTGCACACAAATGTTCCGCGCACCCAGCAAAATGGCCACTCCAGTAAGCCTAATGTCCACATGATGGCAGTGAAGCATCTGGATCTAATGGGTTATTATGCAAATTTTGAGGATCTTGAGAATAAACCCATAATTCACAAACAAAGGAGACTGGTGGACCTCAGATCAGCCAAATAACAATTCAACAAGTGTTCTGCTTTTATTCTTAAAATGTACCTTTGCCCTTCTACATTAATCCCTGATATTTCAGTCTCTGTCTACATTCTTCCATTCACTGAACCCTCTACAAAAGCCAAAATGAGTTTTTTTGAAAATTAATGCCAATACTGTTGGTTTTGATTTTATGAACAAAATCAATCAAAGCCAATGCAACAAGTATGTATTTTGTACAATAATTGTGTTATATTACTATTAAATTTTGGTTATTTATTTATCATGAAAAAAAAAAAAAAACATTTAGTGGCAATAAATTATCAAATTACTCGTTGTGAACATGGATCATAAAAATGCAACAAATAGAGACACCCAATAACCTATAGGAATACAGCCAAAGAGAGTGTTCTGCTGACCTAGAGCATGATATCCAGTGCTTTACTTGAGTATTTAGCCAATACTTGTAATCTTAAAACAGTACTAAAAATAGTTATAACCACATTTTTATTAAGGAAAAGCTATGCAAAAGATGTAACCATTAGCCACAACACAAATTCAGAGAGCTAACAAGACCAAGTGTTGGGCTAAGCACAGGTAGATGGCAGAGAATCTCCAACATTTATGCCTGTCACTCAATGTTACTGAGATGGCTGAGGTGGATGGGTGTGGTTCGTCACGCATTCTACTTTCGATATGATACTGATTAAAAAAAAAGAATGATGGGTAGTCTGCTTCTTTCTAGCTTCTTTTCCTTTTAATATTTTTCAAAAATTAATTGAAAAATCAAACCTGGTGGTCCCTTTAATCCCCCAATATATACTATATAATACTATATAATACTATATAATACTATATATACTATATACTATATAATATTACTTTTTATTATTCCCATCTTCTTATTTAGTGTCAACACAATGTGTTGACAGTTTTGAAAAGGTTTGTTAAGGCCATTATCTGTTAATCAGTCTAGTAGGTAAATTAAAATCAACATTTAACAGCACTTTAGAGTGCACTGGTGTAATGGCATCAGCCTGTATTGTTGACTGGAAAATAGACATATCTGCTGCAATTCTCCTATGAGCATGAAACAAACTTTCAAATTTTGGAACATGTATACAGATTCCAAAATTCATATTCTTATTTCATTTCTATTCAGTTTCACATTGCAGCTTCTTCAAATTTTTGTTACATGTGATTAATGACGCATCCAGAAAATGTCAGCATTGATAGGGTGAAATAAAGAATTATGGGGCAACGAATAACAAGGATCCCCTGTACTTTCAAGTCTATAAGAATGTACTCCCCTTATAATACCGAATTCTCCCAGTAGGCACTGCACCAACAGTGTTAAATTCAAAGAAAGAAGGAAAATAAAGAAAGAACAAAACCTTCCTACCTATATCCGAGATTGAGCTCTTCACTAAGGTGATCCGTCTTGGTCTTGGTCAAAACCCTCTTCTTTGGGGTCACAGGATGATGGACAAGCAGACCACCCCCACTACCTTTGTACACCAAGCTGGAGCCAAACGTTGAATTGGGTCTCTGTAGACCTCCACTTGCCACACTGCTTTTGTTTGGGGTTAGGGAGGGAGTCGAAGAGCATGAGGAAGGGGTTGGACTTGGGGCGGCACTCTGGGGTGACCCACTAATTATGTCACTCATCCCTGAATACAGGCCGAAGGAGGACTTCTCTTCGTCTCTCTGTAGGAACGAGTCAAATTATTCAGTGGCTCTGTTAGTCTCTTTACTGGAACAGTGATCTCAAGCAAAAAGACTTTTTTCTTCTTTCATGCTCTACTTGTATTGATTTTTACAACCTGAACTACTGTCATATCTACTATAAAATGCTAGGAAGTCTGTGCCCTACAAGGATGAGTCAATTACATTTCCTCTGAGGATCACAAGCATCCTTATACACTATATAGAAGAAACATACAATTGATAAAGAAAGGAGGAAAAAATTCCTCAAACATACCCGTGAGTACAAGCTGTTTGGTTCCTCCTTTCCTCTCACGTCTTTCTCTTCCTCCATCTCTTCCTCCTCTGATCCAAGTTCCTCCTCCTCCTCATCCTCAACTTCTTCCTCTTCCTCTTCCACGGCATCTACCTCCTCATCCTCCTCCTCATTTTCATTTTCATTTTCATTCTCCTCGTCCACCTCCTCTTCCATCTCCTCGTCACTGCACAGGCTGGACTCCTTTCTGATATTGGTGTGTCTTGAGTTGTCAGCAACCTTAGAGCATACAAAGAGAGAATTATGTTGCATATTTCACATACAGCAATGCATGTGTATGTGGTACTGTCGACTGTGGTTTTGTTATTTTAATTTTTTCTTTACGCACGGATGGCTCCAGAGGCAATTAGTCACCAAACGGTCCATCAATAGGCCTACCTGAGCTCCTGGAAGTATTTCTGTGACTTTTATTACTGTTAACCCCTATGAACTGGATGAGGTAACCATCGCATCATGAAAGATATTGATTTGTGGAGCAGGTGATGTGAACATGTCGTCATGGGAAAATTTAGCTCTTGGATGGTGATTAAACTCAGTTGGCATTTAGGAAGAAGCTTTTGCATTACTTCTATTGGTAAATGAGTGCGGAATGTACTGTGTACGAGCCATGACCGGCAGAGCGTCAGCTCTTAAGGGAATGCTATTTCCATGCTTAGAGTCCTATTTCTGGCCACTGTGAACAGCAGTTCAGGTTGTATTCTAAAAAATTTGATATTGTGGAGAAAAAAAATTATGCAAAACAAAATGCTACTTATTGTTATTATCATTGTACTGAGTTATAGCCTAAGAAAGGAGTTGATATGAAGTCTGTGCCAGGAAAACGGCCAATCATTTGAATGAAATAACCCATTCGCGCCAGGTGTCACATATATGTGACATGCCCACTGTGAGTTTACTTGTTTAATTGTTTTTATACATAGATGGTTACACTTGTACTTGTACTGCCTGTCTCGTCCGTTTACCCTTTTCTTTAATTTACGAAAATATTTTATGTTATCTCATTTTGCTGTCACTAATGTTTATAACATTTTAGTAATTATAATTTTTATAATAAAAATAAGCATCGATATTCATAGCACTAGTAAAAATACATTTTCCCGCCAATTCAAGGAAAGGTGAAATCAGGTAAGGAAGAGCCATCTAGTGTAGAGACATTTCACAAAAAAATATAAAAAATGAGCACAGCATTTTCCCCATTTTTTCTTAATTTTTACCCATCGTGAATGGGTTAAAATGACAAATATAGACATTAGAAATCGGTAAAAAAGCTAAAATTGTTTATGCAGACGAAAACAAATTGCAAAACGGAGGCATGGAGTCTTCCTACAACACATAAGTGTTCGTCTGTACTGAGCTTATAACCCCACACACCTGGCAGTGTTTCCTCAAGTAATATTAATAATGAGAGAAGCAATACCACAATAGGAACAACTCTAATATTAGTAAAAGAAATAAAACGCCTTCCCAAAAACTCCCTAGACTAGGATGAATGGGCAAAATCATGTAACAGAGCAATGACCTTCTTGGTGCTCATGAAACCATTTACATGTAAGTAAAATTACTAGACTAAACCACAGTGGACAGTGCATGTATCTGGTGACAATGGCTTACCATTTCCATAAATTATATCGACAAACTACATTGTAGATTTAGGATCAGTGTTCAAATTGGAATGCCATGAGATACAGAATACTACAGAAAGAAAAGAAGAGTAAAGAAATGAAAAATTCATAGGTACCATCATAAGTCAATAAAAAAAGAAAAAAAAAAAAAAATTGTCCTAAATAATCTAAGACTATAGTACCAAAACTTCATTAAAAAACGGGTTACTCTTAAATCTGCAATTCTGTGCATACAAATAGTTGTCATGCTCACCATCCTATACGACGGCTGCGCTTTGCTCTGCGGCTTTGGACCTTCTCTCCAGGCTAAATGGCTGCTCATGGAAGACAGAGACTCTGCTGATTCCTCTGACGTTCTGGAAGCTGCATCCCCTACGTCCTCTATGAGAGGCTGCTTCCTCTCAAGCTCGCCTCTACCATTCTGCTCTGCGTGTGGAGCGACCACCCTGCCTGCCGCTTGGTTGTTGTTGTTGTTGTTGACATTATTGCCCGTGCTTTCCACATCTGACGGCAGCGCAGGAGGGCAGCCCCGGCCGGGGTCAGTGTCACCCATGCTGCCCGCTTTCACATCGCATCACTGTTTCCCCAGATCTCCTCGTGCTGTGGCTCTGTGAAGCAGGGCAGATGGATGCATGTGATTTCAGCTAATTTCAAAAATTCACCTTTAACATTTCTCATTCATGAACACTTTACAGTTCTGACAGTGGCTACACCTCAAAAATTAATAATATTGGTAAATCAGGCTTTATCCTTGTTTGATGTACGTTATATCTGTGATACTTTTTAAATTCATATTTATTTATAAGGTCAAATTTTAGATAATCATCATAAATAAAAGCTAACAATAATAATGATAATATTCACTACTGATGGTAGTTAAAACAATACTACTACTACTAATAACAATACTAATAATAATAACAATAATCATGATAATTAAGATAAAAACAATAACACAAATACAAATACAATTAATAGTAATAATAATAATAATAGTAATAACAACAGCAGTTGCAAAAGTAGTAGTAACAATAATAACAATAACAATAATATTCATATTAAAAATAACAACAAACAAAACTGACATTCTAAACAATGTTTGAATTTCATCAGCACTGATAAGAAACTTTCATTTATCAAGAAGATAAAATCACTGCACAAACAAACACACACATACACAAAATCACAAACAGTAAAGATATTGATGGTTTATATATTACCCACATGAAATTTATGCAATTTCACACAACCTAAATTCTAAAAATGAATTTCAGAGACTAAGTTTGTTTGCTATTCTTTACCTATTCCCTCTTAGGACTTGGTAACTATGCATTTAATTTCCTCTTATGTAACACATAATATGGGTAGCCTGTGATCTGTAAGTGCCTGCTGTGGCTCTCTTTTTCCTACCAATCCTTCCGCTGTTTGATTATCACTCCTGCTGTCTAATTCACCTACTTCTTGGGTATAGATGCCCGACTCAAGGAAATCTTGCCCACCATTGCAACTGCATGTTTTCCTTATGTTGTTTGTCTCAGTGTTTTATTAGAAACTACTGTTCCCTAAATATTGGGTAGAATCATGGATTATCATTTAAAAAAAAATTAAATTGAAACCTAAGACATAGCTTAAACAAAACCCCATATCCTCAACTAGGTCACAAATACATATCCTTTCATAAGTAAGTGTTAGTGCTACTTACATATTAATAAAGAAACAGACAACTACAAGTATAAACAGAAAAAGACAAAAATGTCCACTTACACTCAGGCTCCCACAGAGACACAGGCATTAAACAGAAAATATCACCAAACTGAATACCAGCTTCTATCCTTTCCAAATTGAGAAGCCTCAACTCCTCATAAATGCTCTGACACAAAGCACATGCTGCCTTCACCAAACAAAATATTGCATTACTCTAAAATAACTGATTTGCAATGCAATCTTCAATTAATTTTACACATGAAAAAGATCACCTGTTTCCAACGTGTTTAATGCTACTGTTTCAAAACTATTCCACTTAAAAATCACTGTTCACTTCACTTTTCCCTTTCACTTATTCTCTGATTGTCTTACTGTGTGAAAAATATCATGCAGTGCACTTCAGCTGATACAGTCAGCATGAACCAATCTTATACTATCATGTCATAAACACTGAAATATGTATTAATACACATTTACATATTTGCAAACATCTGCAAATAAACAATCACAAACAACATACACATACAATCACATACACACAACATGAACATACAATCACACACACACAACATGAACATACAATCACACACAAAACATACACACATACAACATACACATACAATTACACACAAAACATACACACACACAACATACACATACAATTACACACACACAACCACACACACACACAACATAAACACAAAACCACACACACACACAACATACACATACACACACACATTCTGTTGATCTAACTCCCAAGATGACCAAGAACATGTTACCAATTTATCCCCCACCATTAAAGCTGACATGTTCTCAACACGTTTGTACTTTCTTTCAACAGGTGCAAAATGATAATCCAAGAGGCTCAAGGCCCACCCACTGGAAGCTGAGGTGTAACTTTTTTTCAATTGGCTTCACACCTGGATGCATGGCCATGACTGCTGTTGGGGGGGTATTGCAGCAAGGTCATGGAGCCTCATTTTCGTATTTTGGGTAAGAGAGAGAAAAAGGTCCCATGAAGGTCGATTTTTCGAATATATAGTTTTAAAATGGGGGCAAGAAAATATGGTCTGGAGTTCCCCCGGGTGCAGAGGACAGGTGGGAGTAGGAGGCACTTGACCTTCCCCTCCGGGTCAGTCTCTCGGCTCCTGCGTGACCCGGGATGACCTTTGACCTCGCACGCGGTTCCCAGGTCACTCTTACGTCACTCATTCATCCCGGTCAGCTGCCACTCTTGAGTCATCGTTATTCCGCCTCACTTACGTCACTCATTGACCTATGACGTCACTCATTCACCCATTACGTCATTCATTCATGCCAATCAGCTGTTTCTTGTTTACTAACTTCAACATGAGTAAAAGGAATAGTAAGCCTCGGAGAGACCCTTCACGCTCTAAACCCCACGCGACAACTCACTTAATTACAATTTCCCGAGGTCCACCTGAGCGATGGTTTTATAAGGGTTCTTCTGTGAGTCTCGGGAGTCTCATGGATCGGCCCAAATATCGAGAAAATAGGGTTAGAAATAATGTCTTCCTTGGACTCGCAGCTTCGAGGAGAGAAGAGTTGTTTTGGATGGTCAGGTTCCTCCGCGATAGGCTCTGGGCTCACTTTTGCTTCTGGGTCTTGGCGTTGGCTTGTTTTCTCTCTTTGGTCCTAAAATGAGATTCTGTTGGGTTTTGGGCAGTCAATTCAGCTCGGAATCGGTCTTGGATTTTATTTCGGAAGAGGGGATTACTTTGCG